AAGCGGCGTTAAACCCAACCCACTCACTCACTCATACCAAAAGGAGTTAACAGTTGGTACCTGTTGTTACCCTATCTGACGCTCAGCAATAAGGGGCTAAAACAAGAACTGGTCGGCTCGAGTCAGTATACCGTTTCTGAAACGGGTATCCATGTTAAACTGCGGAATGGTATCTCCTAGGGCTAGCCCTATAAAACTGGCAATAATTCAAACTAGTACAAGCAGACACACACACATACACGCTTTGTAAGTGAAATAATCTTTAAAGCGACGATAATCCCATTCAACATCACTTCACCTATACACATTAAACATACTTCTTCATAAATAACCATATGCGTGTTGTGGTAAAGGGAACGCTACTGTAAAACATGTACTTCCCATTCCCTCTGGGGCACGTCAATATGTCTGCAATATTGCTGATGCGACGTTCCACATTGACTCACTCACTCTGGGGTACTGGGGACAACTCTTTGTGCAGGGTCATGTTTCTTAGCCACACGAGGATCCCCTGGTCGCACCTCCTACTTTCCCTCTGCATATGAACCTTAATTCATGATTGTAGCTTTCACCAAAAGGGAACCGTTTATCATCGACATCAGGTTGATCCCCGAATAGGCCGGAGGATGGACTGACCCTGACATCTGGTCACATGACATCAACTAGATGTCTTTGTTTTATGAGATTTCCAGAAAGCTGCCAAATAAATTTTGACAATATAACCACATTAATAGGTTCTTTGAAAATCTGTTGTCCGTTAAGAATCTGACACGTCGGAATGTGTACAATTGCTGTGCAAAAACACCGCCACTTTAAGCTGGTGCTAATTCTTCCCAGCCAACCCCACCATAACAAGGTGTCAGATAATCTCATCAGCATTCGATGGCTTGCATTTCACTATCGAATCTCACACCAGTCACATAAGTCTACAAGTCAAGACTCCAATTTCAAACCTGGTTTAACAAGATAAAAAAATTCAACTGTTTATTTAACATTATTGACGGTGAAAATTAAACGATAAAACTGGAAGCCGTTGCCACGTCTTAAACTAGTCCTCGTCGTCTACAAGTGCGGCATCAATCTCAGTAACTGCCACACCGGTGAGGCCGGGTCGCGTACATTATTGCAGCTCAATGGCAAACCTCATTAGGCTTTTATGCCTACATAAAAGTGTCAGAGGCATATGCGCCATATCTGTTGGCTGCTGTCGGCGGTTTACAACGCCTTGTAACCTTCAATAGTCGGACTAACAATAGACTAACTGACATTCATGGTTGCGATGTCACTACAAATTTATCATCCATATGAAGAAAGTGTATTCTTTTGAGATAAAAATTATATCGTTGAGTTTTATTTGTATTTCATCAACTGGCTTCAGACATTCAATATTACTACATTCTTGTGCTAGTTTCTGTCACGCGTAAGGGACTGAACTCTGCACGGCGAATTGTGACGCCTGGGACATCCATGCTCCCGGGTGCTTACTAGACGCTGGTAAATTAACCGTAAATTATTCACATTTAGAAACAATAATGAATTATCCCTAATTCACGGTAAATAGATAGAGATCGCATCTCCCCAAAACTGTCAAAATAATGTCCTGAGAAATAAACGAAGGCAGCGTGTATTGGAAAAACTACGGTATAATCTAATCTTAAGTGGGTTTTGAAAAAGTACGTACCATATGTTTGTGACTTTATACCACAACACACCTGTGAGATCATTTCCTCTGAATACAATGGAAGCATGTCCTCGCGATAGTATTCAATTATCGTGATATGGAGTATCGTGATTAATCGTTCTACAAGGAAACATCCTCTCGCATTGAAAAAAAAATCACGGCAAAAAATCAGAAACAGAGTCTGTATGACTAATTTGTTGTCGTGTTACATAAGTTTCATAAATTTCTGTTCTTTTGCGCATCAGGGACCTGTAGTAAAGTTAAGATTTCGTATATCTCAACCAGCGGAGGCCATGGAGTGAGTGAGTGAGTTGGGTTTAACACCGCTTTGAACACATCTTCCCGAGGTGAAGGAATTAAGTGACTGTAAAAGTCCAGTTGCCGAACTAGGCTGCAGTTTCGTGGTTCCATAGTAGCGCCAGCGGTGGCGATTACGGGTTATGTCCCTTTTATGTCCCTCCTATTGACCAATGAGATTCCAATTCTCATATTACTTGCATTTGATTCAAACAAAATGGCGGCGCCCAGTGAAGACAATCTGACCGATAATCAAGATCTTTTTGTGTAATAAAATGGGTCTTACCTCGCGAAATCACTTGAGCACCTAGATTAAAAACATGAAATGGAAATCATCTGTCGACGCGCGGGTGACGGTACACATGCACTGCAAATCCTGCAGTCGCTTGTGTTATCAGTCCGATAACTTGGTATCACGACCCGATAAATATGCAAATGAGGTCGCTTAGCTGGAGCTACTTTCAAGATCCATAATTCAGTACCATGTCTTCTTTCTCAATAACGGATTGACTAACATTTTCAAAATGATAAAGGTTTCCCAAAGTGTCGCCGAAACGTGGCTGCAAGTCATTTGGTACTATATAATAAATTGGGCGGTTCACTCAAAATTTAATTCATACGCGGTTTCTAAAGCTACATGTACTTCATTAAGCGAAATAACATCTTACACATTCCATAATTTAAGAATGACATTATATGACAAAGACATTATTACCCTTGTGTGTTTCCGTATTGTAAATATCGTATATAGGGAATAAAAACTATGTACCCTAATGTTTGATATTTACGGTACGGGAACAATCGAGGGTAATAATCTGTACTTTTCAAAACACATTGTTTTCAGGACATTCAGTATTTCCAGCAAACAAATATTATTTGGTGTGAAAACAAAATTATACTCTTCCAAGTATTTTCTTGAAAAAATAATTAAAAAGAAAATTCAAGTGAACACGAAACCTGGTTCTTCGTGTTTTCGGTCGCGTTCGTTTGTTTTTTAACGCCACACTCTCCGATACTCCAGCTACATGACGGCGGTCTGTAAATAATCAAGTCTGGACCAGGCAAGCCAGTGATTGATATCATGAACAACATCCCATGTGGTCGGGGTACCACGACACGCAATCAACCAAATCACCGAGCCTGAGCACCCCATTATTTTAGTCGCCTCATTCTCATTCAAACTACCCTTGGGGCTAAAGAGGTTTCGGGGTGGTTTATGGTGCCCCTAGTCGTGGAAAGATCTGTTGGTTGCAGGATCGGATTCCAGATTCAACCCAGATCATCGGATCACCTCAAGCTTCTTCTGATGACCCAGACTGTCTCTGTGGTCTAGTGGATACAGAGTTAGTCCGGGAAGTTAATGGTCGGTAGTTCCAGTATGGTACTTCCTCTGCCTGAAGTTAGCATAAGGGGGTAAAACAAGAACTGACCGACATGGAGTCAGTATAATGTGTCTGAGTGTGGTATCCATGTTAAATTGTGGCATGGTATCAGAGTGGGTTAGCACTATAAAACCGCCATAAACCATACACACATGTGTATGCACATCGCCTTACTGCAATAATCATGAACGCTAGGCGACGTTAAGCTCCATTTCACCTCCTCTCAAAACCAAACGTAAACATTTCTGTATCTCGCGACTTCTATATACGACAAATGTGGTTTGGGAACAATTTTAATCGCAAGCGCCAACGGAAACTAACCCATGCAATAAGAGTATGATATTTTAACCCTCCTGTCGTCATCGAACTCGACTCGTGCTTGTTGTTTAACGCATAACAGAGCAATATTCCACTTATGTGAAGGCGGTCTCTAAATACTCGAGTCTGGGCAAAACCAGTGAATGATATTATGAGCAACGTCCCACGTCGTCGGGACCTGTGAAGATCCGGATTAGAATTTGTCTTCAGCAACCCATGCTTGCCGCAAAAGGCGACTATGCTTGTCGTAGGAGGCGACTAACGGGATCGGGTGGTCTTGCTCGCTGACTTGGTTGATGCATGTCATCGGTCCCAATTGCGTGGATCGATGGTCATGAAGTCAATCACTGGATTGTCTGGTCCAGACTCGATTATTTAGACCGCCGTCATATAGCTGGAATATTGCTGAGTGCGGCTTTAAACAACAAACCAACCAACCAATCAACAACGTCGTCGGGGTAGGTCGATATGCAAACAACCGATTCATTTAGTCGCCTAAATGTATAGGTTAATGGAGACCTCTACCAATTCGGAATAACCAACTGAAGGAAAGGGACATTATGTCTCCGGGGTTACTCAAAGAAAACTGACCAGGTCTATTTTCTCAAACATTTCGAGCGATCCCATGTTTTTCTTAGCAGCTTCTAGAGATATATTTGTGACCCTGAGAATCGACCCACGCATTTGGGGTACGTTGACATGCATCGACTTCAAGAGGTACTACGCAGAACTATCTTCATGCATTACAGTCTGTATGTTCTTGTACTCCACAGTAAACACTGCTACAATAAACACTTCGGCAGGAGTTATAAAAATGGATATAAACCTGAGAACACCGGAATCTCGAAAACACATACTTATTTTCAAATATGTCTGTTTTTTCACAGCAAATTTAGTAGGGTGTTCTCGGCAGCACAGACGCATTTAAACCGAGAACCGTACATAAAAATGGTTGACGCTCTTAGGTTTGTCCGTTCTCTTCAATCATCCCCAAACATACATTAATAAACGCCATTTGGTATCATCTTCCGGTTTCTTTGTTCATAGATTTCTCATGTTTATTTATTTAAGTCATGTAATTTGTCGTAATCATATCGGAATCTTTTCATGGCATATGAACATAACACTTGTATATCAATACACCCTATGGCGCATCTGTTGTTTTTTCCTGACTCCACGGCTCAAGGCACGTTAATATCCGTTATATGGTAAATGATATTCTAATATGACATAGGAAGCTAATCACGGAAAACAGCACACACAAGACTTGTCTCACGTACTTTCCCAGCTGCGTCTCTGCACTGACAACAAAAGAAATGATGTTTCAACTGGATGTTTATTACAGAAATGACGTGATAACATATAAATACACGAATGGATAATAAAATGAGTGATGATTGTGAGATGAATACACCTGGAGCCAGTGTTTACAGTCACACACGAGGGTCAACAGTGAGGAGGAGGATATGCACCATCCCTGTAAGCATCATCAGTACAGAAACATCCATTCTGGGGGGGGTTAGAAGCAGTGTGCTCCTACCGCCAAGGTAGGGACTGCTGTCGGTATCAGGGGCTGGGACATGCTATACTGGAGACCCCTGGGAACTAATACAGGGACATACTCTGATCAGATAGAATACTACAACCTACAGGTAAATGCCAAAACCTTCAGGTCATGCCAAAACTTCCAGGACATGCCAGAATCTTCAGGACATGCCCAAACTTCCAGGACATGCCAGAACCTTCAGGTCATGCCAAAAATTCCAGGACATGCCAGAACCTTCAGGTCATGACAAAACTTCCAGGACATGTCAGAACCTTCAGGTCATGCCCAAACTTCCAGGACATGCCAGAACTTTCAGGTCATGCCCAAACGTCCGGACATGCCAGAATCTTCAGGCCATGTCAAAACTACCAGGACATGCCAGAATCTTCAGGTCATGCCTAAACTTCAAGGACATGCCAGAACAATCAGATTATGCTTGAACCCTCAGGACCTGTCAGTATGTTCAGGACACACATCCTTCAGGACATGCCATATCATATCATATCATCTTTGAACTAACCGTAAATTAGGAAATACCATAGAAGTTCTGACTAGTATCAAGATCTTAAACTTCTCTATATTAGGCTTTCACAGTACCATTGGTGTAGGATTGGTAAGCTCAAAGTGTATGCCATCTTGAAACAGGCTGATCTGTTGCCAACTTCCCTGGGAAAGTGCTATTAAAAACTGGATATCCCTGACCTGTACTAACTGAGGTCATGTCATCGGACAGAACCAATAACAGCTCTCTTCCAAATGAATGCCTCATTAGAAATGTGTAAAAAGTTTGAATTTCACATACTAGTGGAGATGAAATAATGCAATAACAAGCTAATAACAATCGACTAAAACAAGAATGTTTAATAAAATAATAATAATAATACCGATGGTAAAATCCTGTGTGTTAAGTTTGTTATTTGAAATTAGTTTTGACAACTCAGTTATTTCCAGGTGTTCAATAGCACTATCCCGGGACACCAAGGAAACACACACCTCTGGTTCTAGTATCCACACAGATTAGAATATCAATCTGCATGGTCTCTGGAACGGCAATGTGTTTATCAGATATAATATGGTCATAGTAGAAGTTGACCTAACAGTTCAAGAAGTGTGTCCCAAAAAAATGACCATGTCTGTATGTAGCATTTACAATTAGTACCTTGAGTAGACTCCAGTAAAGTATGGCAGGTCAAATTAGGCCATGGGGATCAAGTGTGGCACACCATTGGGCCAGAAATGAGATTCAAGTAGGGTAAGACAGACCAAGGTGTTACAGGCAACTGATGCCATGAATCCAAGACAAAATGGCAGAGTTTAATAAAGTATTTCAGACCTTTAGGCCCATAAGATTTCAGTAAAGTATAGCAGACTATCAGGGCCATGAGACTCCAGTAAAGTATGGCAGTACATTTTGTTCATGTGACAGGATTAAGACAATTACATTTACTGGGGAATTGAGAACTTACCGAAGCGTTTACACATCATACTTTTATCTCTGCTACTGAGTCAGTGCAGGTAACAAACATAATCTAACAAACAAAAGCATTTTAAAGTATTTGTACTACTTTAAAACTACCATTATTTAAATCATGATTTGGAATAAATGTCATAATAATCTCTTTCTGGGTAAGAAAAAAATGCTCGTAATAACATGTCAGTCCATTACCACTTGGTGGCCAAATTGTGTATAAAATCTTCAGACAATAGCAAAAGGTCCATGCCTTGTAAGCACAAAACATGACAAACAATTTGTAAACTGTAGTCCATCTATGCTCAAAGTAAACCTTGGTCAACTGAGGCGTGTCACTATACAGCCTAGAGTAACAAGTAGACAGTAGAATATAGTTCATACAGTACAAACAGAACAGATCACCAATGACTAAAATATTTCATTGCTCCTTCTCTGTGATAAAGTCTGAAGAGATGACATTAATCCTTCTTTAAAAGCTAATCATTTCATGAATAGGTGACGGATTACATCCAAATCAGTTTAGAACCTTTTTACCCAATGTAATTTGCAGTGAAACGTGTATGTCTGAACACAATAGGACGCTTTCAATAAAGTTTAAAATGGCACCTAAAAATTGAATAACATTTTCGATCACAACACAAGTCTTTTTTGTAATACCACTCAGAATAAGGCACAGAAATATTCTAATGCAGCACACAAATATGCCAATGTTGCTAGAAAAAATAAAATGCCGGTATAGTTCTACACCATATGTTCATATATTTCACATAGTATAAGGGTCAACGTTTTGATAGTGTACAATTGTGTTATTCTGCCTTCTGATGTGGTACATTTCACCTATTTTAACTCACTTAAAACATTTGTTTAGTGTCAGCAAGGACAATCGAAATATCAAAACTATATTCTTATCAGGTCTGCAAGCATCATGGCACATAAGAGTTACTGAATGACTGCAGAGAAGGACCAGTCGAGCGTGTACACTCTGACAACAGTAACAGCAGACACTCCACCACACAGTCGTGATTCCTACCACAGGACTGGCTTCAGGGACATGATAGTAATGGTAGAGACATTTTGGCCGTTTCTTCGTAAACCTTTGGCATTATACGAAATCTACAAATCGGTAAAATCTAAAACAACCGACTAGGAACATTCTAAAAATCATAACACAATTGGTCAAATGTTCAATAAAACTGTGATAGACGAAGAGACAAAAGTGATGAGATAGCTAGGTCTCTAGGAGTGTGCGCGAGACCCGACCTGGTCTCATGAGGACAACAACAGATAGACAGACAACTGCTGTAAACAATGGCTCACTCTCTGTGACACAGGGCACATGCTGGAATTACGTTCTTCCTGAAGAATGGGAAATGTTTGAATGTTGTGTATACATACATACACCTATGATACACATATATGGTATCTACAGTTGAACAGATCAACATTGTCAAAGACTGCAGGAGAAGAGATCCCTGTCACTGTACATGCAAACTGCCCTCCCTCCCTCCCTCCCCCCCACTCCCAATACCGGCCACACCAAAGAGTGTGTTGGTCCAGTATCCCATATCAAACAACCATCTATGAGGTAACTGTAAACTAATGGTTTTCACATGTTTTGGAATTAATTCAAGTTAATCTTGTGACTCAAAATACAAAAATAAATACCTGCAAATTTGCAGGTACCGCGGGCACACACTGCTGTGCATGATGTTGTTGCAACACACTGCAACACTAACCAGAGACTTGCACACACGGTCACACACTCTTGTGACAGCAAGGCCAGAAAACACAATTTCGATGGCTGATTTTGATACATGACAACTTTTAGCATATTATGCAAATGTTATGCAAATCTAGACCAAGACAGTCTGTATACACTTGCTGGCAGAGACGACATCTGTATATACTAGATGGCAGATATGAAATCTGTAGACACTGGCTGTCATATCTGCAAGCTGTATACACTGGCTGGAAGATATGATCAGTATACACATCCGGCAGATATGACAGCAGTAGACACAGCTGGCAGATATGACAACAGTATACACACCTGGCAGATATGACAACAGTATACACAGCTGGCAGATATGACAACAATATACACAGCTGGCAGATATGACAACAGTATACACAACTAGCAGATATGACAACAGTATACACAGCTGGCAGATATGACAACAGTGTACACAGCTGGCAGATATGACAACAGTATACACAGCTGGCAGATATGACAACAGTGTACACAGCTGGCAGATATGACAACAGTATACACAGCTGGCAGATATGTCAACAGTGTACACAGCTGGCAGATATGTCAACAGTGTACACAGCTGGCAGATATGAGAGCTGTATCCAACATGGCAGTGTGTCATTTCAAAGTTCAATTTCATTTTCTATGTACCAGTGTGCTACCCAAAAAAGGACAATCTTGTGACAAGGTTACTATGCATAAGGCTGAGGTCAGTAGTTGAAAAGTGAAGGTAGGGGTTAAATGAGACCACTTGCAGAGACCATTGTTGACATGTTGTTGGCAACACTAGTGGAGACTTGTGGTTGAGGCCAGTGGGGACCGATAGGAGACTTGTGCAGGGGAAGGCAGGTAACTGATGATACTTGTAGCAAGGGCCAGCGGGACCAATGGAAGAGACTTGTGGTAGGGGTCCGTGGGGGCAGGTACTAGCCCTTATCATAAGGGTTAGTGGGGACCACTTGAGGAGACACATATTAGTTTTCAGTAATAACAAAATTTGAATGAATCACATTGGGCAGCTACGAGTCAGCAAGTGACCCTGACCTTCACTCTCCACACTACCGCCAACCAGCCTCAGCACACGATAAACAAAGACCTACTTCGTGCAACGGCAGCGCATGCCCCTCCCTCCACGTGGTACAAATGGACACTTAGAGTGTACTTGAAGTTACTATTTGTCAATACCTAGAAACAGAGATCACATAGAACATACGAGATACACAAGTCTGGTCAAACCAGTGGTGCTACCACCAATCTAGGTCCAGGCACATGGTGGCTGTCGCCTGCAGTAGGCCGCCCCGAGGGGAGCCAGCGACACTCGTAGTGGTACACATGTATTATGTAGTAATGCTAAGATGGTGTGAGCCTCTTGCTGCAGTCTCTCAGCACACACAACTCTGGCACATACAGATTGAGTGTCCATTTCACTCTCTTCTTCGTTCACAATGACTTGATCGATACTCAGATGAAGATGTTTGTTCTGGATCAAGTGCTCGGTCAGTGCCAGTAATGTCACAATCTGGTCTCAGTGATGTCCACGCTATACAAAAATAATCACTTTCCGAGCATCACAAGTAGCAGCTACTGTCTCTGCTGGACTCAGCCTTCACACAGCCAGTCTAAATAGCACGGTCACCCAGTCAGGTGCAGACAGTCACACATCAGGCAACGAGTCAGTCAATCAGGTGCATTCTTGCAAGGTCCACAAGCTCACGGAGACTGTATTATGCTACACACACCCAGTTGCTGCTGCTGCTGCTGCTGCCCTGTTGTGGTGGGATCAAGGAAACACCTGTCCCGCTTCCAGGTGGGCCCGTCCATCCCTTCATCTGTCCGTCAGTCCAGGCGTCAGGATGTGGGCACAGAGGGTGGTGTCTGTGGGAGATCCATACACAGCTTGGACTCCGCGTGAAAGTCAAGAGCTTTCTCGGCTTCCTCCAGGTCTACATCCAGGGCATCACCACTACCTGGGCCAAAGGGTGAGGACAGGTGCCGAGAGTTATGGCATTTCTCCGAGGGTTTCAAATGAAAGCTGTCACTTTGTGGGCCTGGCAGTGGACTTTCCACATTACAGTCACTGTCCACGCCAGATCTCCCCGACTCAGCATAACTGTCATTGCACAAGTCGTCATCCAATTCTTCATCCGAGGTTCCCCCGTCTTCCCCCTCCCCACGCAGGAAACGAACACATCTCTTCTTCCTCCTGAAATAAACACATCAATGTTAAGTCACCAATGTTGACATAAAAATAGGAGAAACATCCACTGACGTCAATTACGGAATCTTTTTAAATGAAAAAAATTACTGTTACAAATTGTCCACTTATAGTTTTATGAAGATGGATATTGAAGCTGTTATGGCTCTACCAATGTTATGAAAAGCAGTAACAAGCAAGATGTGTATTATAGTTACCACAGGATTACTATACAGAACACTATATACTAACTAGTACATTATATCAAAGAAGCTCTACAACCTCAAACCTCACACAAACATCTACGAACTCATACCTCACAGACAATTTAAAAATTTCCTATTGTGAGAATTCCAATAAATTACAATATTTAAAAAAAGGAAATCTTTCCAATAGTCAAGTCTCAAGAGGCTTGGTACAGTAAAGCCAAAACATTGTTGCAACATGCTGAGAAGGACCAAGCAAAAGACACATGCCTAGACGAAGGACGATGGTTGAGACAGTCCGACAACCAAAGAAAATGCCAACCACAGAATATGAAAAAATATGTATCGGTAATGGACTTCTGCAGCACATGCTTGTCTCGAAGTGCAATGAATTTAATCTCAGTGCATGCTCCGCAACCCCATCCCCCAAAAACGTTTGGTACACAAGACACAGATACATCGACATGATATACAAATATATATATTGTAATATGGGCAAGACAGCAAGCAATATATGTGGTTAATGGTTACTGCAAGCAAGCATAGTGTCAGTCACGCCACAGGCCGTTCATCCTGCAAGAGAAGAAACCTGATTGGTCAGGCAGATCAGTAGGTGGTCATGCAGGGGCACCATGCATTGGTTGGACTGTGGGGGTCATGGCTGCTACCCATAGTGCACTGTAATAAGCTTAGGAAGGTAGCAGAACGTAGCCATTTTTTAATTCATTTTTTAGCAATTACAGAAAGTCATTTGGTAGCCACGTTTGTCAAGAATTTGGAAATTGTGTTTGTAGAATTGCCTGTGCCAAAAAATGAAGGCCTACCATTTCCTGCTCTATCCTTGACAAATCATAGGGAGAAGTGAAAGAATATAAGAAGGAGCTAAGGTGCTCAAGACACATTTACAGCAAGATTGTAAAGAATCGATCGTAAATTCAATGTGAAGGACTACAACGAAGAAAGGGACAAGAAAAGAAACATGGTTGACAGGTGGAAGTGTTTGAAAGGGGGCATCGGTGCCCCCACTGACAGGGCGCACACAAACCAGGTTACTGGGATTACATGAGTAGCAGCAGCTACAACAGATGGTACAGAAGTGAGACAAGCTCAAGCAACAAAAGTGAGTATGTATATATATATACACTCCATACAAGCAAGTGGTCAGTGTAGTGGTCAGTCCGTCCCTCGGTCTGTCCGCGGTCCAGTCAGGACAGGCCTGCCCTTCACCAAACAGCCTCATGCAAAGCTACTGCAAGCTGCTCACAACACTCAACAAGCAGCCACTGAGCATGCTCCATCGAGATTTTCAAGAATACCTTACTATTATACGTCGGTGGACTTTTTCGTTTCTAATTCAGAGGAACTGTCATGTTCACACTTTGTGTCATGCATCGATCTGAAACGAGACAACATGGCCATTGCAGAAAAGTTCAGCAGAAAAGTTAACAAAAAAAATAATAGAAACAAAAAAAAATCCTGAAAATATGGTTATTTTTGCTGACAGTTTGAATGAACCAACTTCTGCTGAATCTTCCTGTATAGGTCTACACAACCATCCTCATGGAACACACTCATCGAAGACAGAAGAGTGTCTCGTCCAGTAGAGACAGCTCGGGGCATCCTTGACAAGATCACTTGGGCATGAACAGTCTGACCAAACGTTACTCTTCCGAATCAAGTGTCTGCTGTAGTTTCACCTCCTACAAGCCTACAGCCTGTCCGCCGGGAGAAAGTTAGGTGGCTAACAACGGCAGTCGCAGCCTGCCTGTGAGGTTGAGGCAACAACTGATGGTGGCGATGGGCGGCTAACTACAACTTTTCTGCATTAGCCACTAGTGCCTGAGGAAGCTAGGCAGATGCACTCACCTGCAGGGCTTGCACCACTGAGTCTGCTGCTCCATCCCAAACCGTGCGCGGCACTTCTTTGCGTGTGTACATTCTGAAACATAAACTGCAGTGCCTCAGATAACATGTCAATTCAAACAGTGGCCGAACCTGCCCTTTGCAACTTTTTCTCAAATAGATAATGACTTGAAATCATCTAATTGCCTTTTTTCGTCGTTCATCTTGTTATTATCATTTCACTAAATTACGTTAAACCTACACAATCCACTTCCCAGGTGTCACCGTGGCAAAAGCGACGACCAAATAATCAGATAGGCAGAAGAGACCACACAGCACTGAGCACAGCTCTTGCTAACTAGTTCTCACTGCTTCAAACCAGGGGACATGTTCAAATATTGATTTCCAACTTTTTTCCCAAATTAACAGAAAAAAAAAGAGTAGCCAGAGAGAGAGATCTAAGTTTGAAGACACCTTCTCTGAGAGCCAAGACACGCATGAGATTGTACGAGGGGAACAGTGGACAGGATAGGTGAGCCAGGACGAGAGAAGTACTTGTGCCAAGGGCAGATTTAGGGTTTCATCATGCACATAACCCACCTAAACACACTACCCCATCACACATGCAGTTTCCACCAAATTATCAGTCTCAGTCCAGAATCCAGCAATTTCACAAGTTAGGGTAATGATTTCCCATACTGGAAACTGTGAGAGTGTAATTGTATTTTTTCGGTATTTTAATCCGCATTAACCCCCATGCTAATCAATATCAGCAGCAAGTTGGACTTCCACTGGTGTTTCCACACGCTCAGCCCTCTCGCTGCAGGAGTACAGCAGCCCCCACTCACATCACTGCCACTATTGTTCATCAGCACGACTTACGGAACAAATCTATAGCAGGGTTTCCATTACTCTCTTTAATTTAACTTTCTACATGATGAAACATAGCCAATAACTTGACTTGCCAATCGTAAGAAATCCACTAACATGTTCATTTGCTCAAAAATATAGAACACTCACTGGGCCATGGGAGTTCATTTCTCTCACTGCCCAAATGGCCATTTTCCTGCCCTCACTCTACCACCTCTGACTGCCCGACCAGTAAGCATACACCCTAACACATGGTACACCCACTCCTTGTCAGAATTATATAACATTGAACTAGCAGGACAGAACAAGCCCTATTACACCTGGGTATGTCCATCTAGGTAATGCTAGTTTTCAGGGGTGGGTATTGGATGTTTAAAGTGTATCACAATATTTTACTATGCACAAGGCCGTATTGCGACACATATCACAATATATTGAAAAATTCGCGAACTTGCATTTTGGAATTACGGAAACATTACGAAATGACATGTATTTTGCAAGTGTATAACACTAAATACATGATAAAAATCGCTATTTGAAATCACCCGATATAGCGAGTATTAAAACACGATATTCTGATATGTACATGATGTATCATGGAAAGAATGAACCTAAATTTACTGATATACCGGTAATACCTCGCTGCCTTACCAGTTCTACAAGGACGTTGGGTTCTAGGTCACCTAGGCCTATGTTTCACATACTCCCATTATTTCAAGTGGCAAAATTTTAAACCTTAACATCGCACCCGGGCAATTTCGAGACGAAGTTTCAAACATTCAGAGTTCAAAACAAAATCAGCTTATATAGTGCACAACTATTGAAAATACAACATTGTCTTCAGAAACAAATTTGTTATGATTACAACACAAATATTCAGGAAGAAGTATTACCTTTGTATTACAGTCAAATAATAGGCTCTACATGCAATTAGAAACTGCACACTACATACTGGAAAGAGTTAAAAACAACTTCACCAAGAGCATCATTCAAGCATGGGCAATTGGAGTGTGAGTGAGTTGGGTTCTACACAGCTTTCAGCAATATTCCAGCAATCTCATTACAGTAACACCAGAGACAGGCTTAACACATGGCACCCATGTGGGGAATCTAATCCAGGCCTGTAGTACTGAGCCACTGCCTTAACCACTGGGCTATCCCAACACCCAGAATCTGACTAGAACAACTGGATGCAGGTAACTGCAAGGTTACAAGCAATCAACATCAATCCGAGTGAGTTTTACCTTTATTTTCACCAGGGCCATCTTTTTTCCGTTTCTTTTTCTTTGCATGTGACGCGTAGTTATCTCGGGCTGACCAGCCAGGGTACAGCTGTAGGTGGAGCTCCTTCTCTTTCCGTGCCATGTCGTAATATTTGGACTGTTCACCCCGGTCTAACGCATGCCACTGGAAAACACCATGGTTCACATTCAAATACCCATCGATGTAAAGCACAACTTTAAACTAAACATGTTTAGGTATTCCTTAACTCCAATCTCATTACCTCATAAGACTCTTGACAATACACTTTGACAGCTACAGGTATCAAATGCATCTCATCAATCACAATTAGAAAGATTACTAACAGTCAAAAAAATGTCTTGAACATGATCGGTTCTGAATGTCAGATGTGTGTTTTACTGAATATATGAATATACAGATTTTAGTGTTAAAGGACAAAATGGATCGATAATTCTTGAATGTCAAATTCAATAAAACAAGCTCTTTCAACGAATTGCATGAATGTTAAAAAAACAACATGAACTGATGTTAGTATCAAAGATGTTTAAACATATATATATCAATATGCACTATGAATTGCCAAACTGAACACACTGGATAAGCCTCCTTAAGCCTGAGAGGTATTCTACCAAAGGCCGATTCGTCAAAGCAGGAGAGAGAGAGAGAAACACTATGTCTTGTCTGGTATACAGGTCTGAAGAAGTCAGCTCAGAGCTCAACTCACCTTCTTCCCTAATATCTGATTAATAGCTGCCGATTCTTTCAGCGTACAGTCTGCGATAACCTTTGCTCGCATTTCTTTCATAAACAACATGAACGCATTTAGAGGTTTCTTAACATAGGGCTTTTTCTTCTGGGTATTTTCCCCACTTCGGCTATTACTGGCAGAACTCTCTTCACCAGGGTTCGAACTTAACTCGGGCCTGAAAAATGACAAGAAAACCATGGACTTAACACTCGGATCCCTGGTGGCAGGTCTGAATCAGTAAAGAGTTAGTTACATGTGGCTTATCTAGTCAGGCTGGGAGTCAAGGCTTTCATGTTCAATTTGCCAAAACATAGCAGTGATGGGAACCAACATGGACCTACCCTTCGGCCTAATATCTGGTTAATAGCTGCCGATTCTCTAAGTGTGCACTCAGCTATAACTTTGGGTCTCATTTCTTTCATAAATAACATAAATGCATTTAATGGTTTCTTTATATGTGGCTTTTTCTTCTCTGGTTCCGGATTGGGGTTGTTCTGGCAACTATTGGCCGAATCTGGAATATTGCCATGCCTGAAAAGAGACGCAAGCTACATGTAAAACTCTCACAGGTGCCCAGGACCGAGCTCCCCTAACACCTTGACATCGGTTACAGGGTGGGTGCGTGGAACAGCGGTCAGCAGGATCAGCTATGTTGCGGCAGTCTGCTTAGGTTCTGATCCTGGTGCAGACAAACCAGTTGAAGATTGCAAGCATCACTCATGGGTGCGGTGAAACAATAAGACATTCGCAGCTGTTGTTGGACATCCAAACCCCAATTAGAATTTGTGACAACAAGCACTGCTTATTGTGGATGTCTTTGGACCTTTGGTACTGGCACTGGCACTTGACACAATGTCAACAGCGATGTAATACTCACCAGAAACTGGCTCGGCTAAAACTAAAGAAATTAAACCCAATTTTATAAATCTCATATTTAAGCATCTGTCATTTAACAATACCAATCTGTTTGAAATTTGTAACAAATATGGACAACCCACTTCATAAATTTCAGATTCTTTACATTTCCTTAAAGCATAAAACTGTCATGAATGTTTTGATGTTTATAAACAATTTAATATTGCCCCCCCCCCCCCCCCCTCCCCCATCACAATCTTATCAAGAAGACAATCTGAGGAATGTGTGGCAGTCAGCTCAGTTGGTTCTGTTCGGTGGTAAGCTGAGAGTTTGTCGGTCTGGGGAAAGCATTAACGATGATGATGCAATAAAGAATGTTTAACGAGGTGTTAAACGCAGCACTTAATACAGTACTTGCTGCTCCCTACAGATGTATCAGATACTCTCGCTTCAGATGCTGCTCTCATATTTCTGCATCTTCTTGAATTATTATTGAATCTTAGTTACTGAATGTTTCTTACAAAAATGTTTTTTAAATCATGAGACACAGATTTGGTGCATTCTAATCCCAATTTTAAAGATGTTTTCCCCTTATCTTCTTTGGAACTGTTACTGATACCATGAGGGTTCACTTGCACAAAGCAATGTTAGCTTTATGACTACAGTAACAATCGCTTAACATACACTACACTAGTCATAGAATTAGTCACTTTTTGCCAGTGGGCCTTGGTGAAAATGCATCTACTTTACATAAAACTAGGCACAAACAAAATATATTTCTTCCCCCAGATGCTTCGACAGAATATACGATAGCAACTAAATTTGCTTGTTATTTTACATAAATTGATTTATTTTAAAAACAATACCATTTCTTCATTTGAAAATAATAATAAAGATAATAGATTTTTTTCTTCTTCAAATATTCAAATAATCCCAAATTCATTTTGCTTCATTTCCCCCACCAACCTGTGATTGTCGACGCCCATTGTTTGCGCCCCCATCATCTCTTGTTTTGGTCCCGGACTCATGATAGGGTGGGGTGGCATGCCGGGGTGAGGCAGACCAGGGTGCGGCAGGATCCCTGGGGGGCCCAGCCGTGATATTGAGTTGATTAATGGTGGATAGGAGCCTGAGAATCCGCCTGAAGAGATTGGGTACCCTGCTGGCCGATGCCTGAATAATAAAAGCAATATTGTTAGTTTGAATAATTTCTAGTTCTTAACAAAGCCCGAAGAGATTTGATATCCTGCTGGCTCCTGCCAAAATGATGGAGGAAGCATTGTCAGCTTGCTCGTAATGTCGCCTGAAGAATACCTTGCTTGTCACAGAATATTGGAAAAATTGTTAGTTTGAATAATTTTGCGTTCTTAACATTGCAATGGACAATAATCACCTTATGCCAAAAATAATGTTGCAGATTTGTTTCATTAGAAATCAGACGACTGTAAGACAACAGAAGCCTCCTCCACAGTCAAAAGGGCTATCTCATGACAAGATTTAAAAAAAAATTAATCCTCCTAGACAGGGTTTATGAAATACAAAGCCTCTTATATTGCCTAAATCCACTGGCATATGTTTCCAATTAATTCAATCTTTCAAATTTTGAGAAACAAATTTCAACATCTGATTCACGAAGGTGTTGCAGGGGAACACAGTGGTTTGAATATCACAAGTTTTGTAGGAACCAGTTGTAGCATAGGACACATCTCACGGCAAACTGATGCACCCTTACATATAATGATCCACATGAGATGCATCAAATTTTCATAAAACAATATACAGCCAAAAATAGTTCAACGCAGTAATCCACTGCAAGAATATCTATCTAGTGTGCGAACAATGAATGTGATATATTTTTACTCGGTCATCCAGACACAATCAAAATTTATTTTAATCATAATAAAAAAAATACACATGAACTCATCATTCAGATAGTTGTAACCAGTTGATTAAATAAACCAATAAAATGTTTTATGAAACGATGCAGTAACAAAACTCAATACAATTTATAGTTTTGGGGGAATGACAAGCAGAGAAAAAAGAGTCCTTCAACAAAATCCAAAAGCAAGGACAGTGATTCTGTTTCACGATACCATTAATCACTACTGCCACATTGTCTAATTTCAAATTAATTCAGCTGTTATTTGACAATGGATAAAAGAAAACAACAATGATTCCCTTTTAATAATAAGCTTCGATTCATTTCATTTAATCACAGCATAAAACCAGTAAGTTGTTCAGAGTGCAATTTCTCATTAATAATAGCCGTATGGCAATACACCTCTAGGACATTCCAGACCTTTACAGTACGATGCAACACATGGGTGTGTAACCAAATTCACAGAAAACAACACTACAACATTTAAACCAAGCTTAATAAATATTTTAGCATCTTGGTCTCTACCTCCAATACAGTTAAAACAAGAACATCGGGAAACACCATATTCATTTCTCAGATATTAACAAATGTTCTCTCTCACACAACTTAAACATGAGCTATGCCACAATAAAACTGTCAAATAAACTTCGTAGAAATGAAAACACTAGCATGTCTGACTGCGTGGCCTGGCTTGCTTGACTATGAGTCAACGGGCTGGATTCACGAGAGACCTCTTAAGATTCACATGACACGGGCTTTCTGTCGATGTAAATATTCTACTTTAACCCCCACTCTTAACACATAACGACAAACTATTTTATGCCATTTGATTTTTTCCGTCTCTCACAAAATGTTGACATACAAATTAGACAAAACTTCAATTCCCTGTACATTATTATAAAAGGACAGATTTAAGACGAAACATCAATAAATTGACATGTGAATAATCTCAACAGGACTCAGATGTAATGAATCTGGTTAAATATAATACAATGCTATCTGATTAACTGATTGAGAATAAAGCAGTTATTTTCATATTAAATAATCCCTAATTAACAAGTTTTCACAATCAGATTTTCTAGGTTTAATGTTTAAGAAATTAGATATTCTGTGTTAGTTTTTTATACTTTTTTTTTCATTTGAAGAAAGCTCTTTTCTGTAAGGGAGATAATTTTGTAGCTGTTAACACCATGTAGTACCTTCCCCTTACCACAAATCTCCCGCCACCCCTAAAAGAATTACTGAAAAAAAACCAGATACCACCACACAAATATATAATTAAAGGCTTCTAATTCTAATCATATTCATATTCTAATAAATTTCCACTTTCTATTACCTGTTGGACAACATCACAGATAAAATGGAATTATATTTTCATCAAAACCAAACATCTAGCATGACAAGTGAAATATTTTTGTTCAAGAAAACCAAAAACTGGGCGACACCAAAACTTGCCAGGCTGATCAATAACCACAGTTTCATAAAACCCTTACCTAACACATGATATTTGTTAGTATTCATAACGGATTAATTTCTTTACAGTGTAATGTGTTGGAGAGATAATATCAAGGGCTGTTGAGGATGTTCCTCTAACACTGATACGAGGGTGACACTGACTGACAGAAAGCATGATAAGCAAGATGTCCCTGGTCCTGTACACAAGTCCTCACATCACATCCCTTAACATGACACCATGGCAATCCGCATTCCCATGTTACAGCATGTGGGCATTACACCCCTTGCTTGTTCACACTATCATGTACAGATCATACTTGTCAAAAGCCCTGGTCACAATCAACTTAACATTGTAAAGAAAACCCCGAAGGGCATGCTCTAGCATTATCATTGGATGAAGTATGTCAGGTGTTGCCAAACAGTTTTTTTAAAGGCAGGGATGAAGCCATTTGGCGTGTGTTTATGTGTACCAGACTCGGAGGGCCAACACCGTTACCAGCCCGCCGCCCCGGACAGTGGGCTCCGACTCAACAGATGACACAAGTCCCACAATTTTACATTCTATTTATCTTTTCATTTGCTGCGATCCATGCCGGGGTTGTATGGGTACGCAAAGCCATGACCCGCACTTACGCTAACTTCATAATTGACACTGAATGGAGCCCATATGTTGGACATACTATTCTTATTGCAAAATGGTTGTCCCTGCCATTAATGCTGACCGGCCAGCCATGCTTTTTCCTTTGGCAGCTTGATAAGACAGCAAAAAGCACACTTCCAATTTGGAATGCGACAAAACCAAATGGGTACCAATTTGTCTGAGAGCTGTCTGCGATTTACAATAAGCCTTAAATTGAAAATAATAAGCAACTTCTAGTTGTCAATCCCAATTTTATTCAAGCAATGTGGCAGAAAAGAACACAAGACAATAAAACGTGGCAAATCTTTGACAATCTGTACAGCAGGCGGAGCAGTTTTCGGGCTACATCTAGAATTACCAGACGAAAGCTCTCTTTTAATAGCTCTGCTTAACAACACTTCATTCTCGCATTTCGCCTTATTATGTCCATATTTAAATGCTCAGAATAAAAACAGGTGGAGGCTGTTAATTTTGTTACTAATAAATTGTAGCTTCCCCTGCGATTAGCGTCAGTGCCGACCGAGGCGGCCAATGTTGTGAGTCGGGCTACAGCAAGGGTGACACAAAGATAGGTGGCTGTCACCTCGCGTCACTGTACACGGCGTACTTCCATACCAGTAATAGCCCCGGCTCAGTGACGACCTGACTCGGACCTTTCCCAAACGCTGTCGGGGTGTCACCACTATCGTATCAATGTTGCCCGATAATTTCATAACAACATCAAATTTGTGAGGCCCAATTTGCCTTTCAGTTTGGCGTGACACTTATACGACAGTGAAAATTGTACAATAAATGTGATCAAGTGCTGTGTGTTATGTCTGTGTGTGCCACAGTCTCTGGGCCCGACCAGTTTATGGTCACTTTCCGTGACATTAATGTTCCTCCCCACCTGTCCGCCTATCCTACAATCCTGTTTCTGTCAATATTATCATCCAACAATTATTACAAGTAGGATGTTCAATGGTGCTTCAGTTGCTATATAACTTGCTTCACTGGATCTCAATACATTTTTTGTTTAAAAATTTAACTAAGTCATCCTGCTATATGAACGGATCAAGCGGATTCTGCTAAAAGATCAGAAATCTTAAAAAAACACTAAACTGTTTTACAAAACATTCTATTTCCCCATTATTAGAAATTGACTCGTTTATAGATACTTAATTCATATATCATTCTTAGGTTCCTAATACAGACAATCTCAGGAAAAGTATGTTAGCAAATCGACCCAAGATTCACAGTATATATGTTCCCGGGGAATGTAGTTAATGGTTCTATAATTCACAGCAATACAATGTTCTAATGATAACAGAACTAGACTCCTTCATCTGTACAAGAACATTCCTCACGGAAAAATTCTTTTAAAGCCAGTAACATTTACACCTATATATATCAAATCCTATTTCAATAGTTGTCACTACTGCCTAAAACTGATGACAGCAACAACATATCTGCTGACTCATAATCAGCTGGTAGAACTTAATGACAACCCGGCCATGCCAAAAGCAAATCCCCAAATACAATTCTTCTTGAAGAACATAAAGAAAATCTCAAGGATCACTGATGAAGGAGCAGTAAGAAGCCCTGAAACGTGACTAACGAATAGATATTGTATTTTGCATCTCTATGGCCTACCAATATGCCTATTACAGCGTTAGAAATTGGCACTAGTCCTATAGCCCTTACCAAACTGTCCAATAGTAAAGGTATCCTAAGGACTAGTAGAAATTGGTCAATTTTAAAGGTTTTGCTATATGTTATCATTATAAGGACTAGTGGACAAAAACTGTTAGTTTCTAACCCTGTATTAAAGACATTAACCCTACTTGTAAATCTGTACTTACAGAGATCCGATAATACTAAGTTACACCCATCACGCAAAGAAACTTGTGTAAAGATACGTCTATCGTACATGAACATATCTTAAAAATGAACAGATATATAAAAACGCTATCAGTTTGTGAAGCTGTAGGTAAAATCTGCAGTTTAAAAATATTTTATGTTAATCACGCAGTCAACTTACCATTGCACTTGCGAGAACTCCGGGTAGAGGTGATGGGGAAACTGCCCCGGAGGTGCGGGATATGTCGCATACATTGGTGGTCTTGGCAACCCTGAAAGGTGAAGAGGAACCTAATGACGAGATATGTTTTCAACAGAATGATATAAATTTCAACAATGCCCTTGGGTATTGAAAGATGGTGCTTTTCTATCCCAGATAAAACCCTTGATATATGCCCCCAGGACGACTGTCAGAAAGACGGCCAGGAAGGGTATCAGCCAATCACATTGTAGATCACGGACTTCAGGTACATCACTATTGGTCGATAAGAGCATACTACAACATAGTCTTTGAAGACGAATCAAATTTAATCACAAAGCTAAGTTAAATATCCATAGAACTTTCATTTCCAGCAAACCAGCATCAAATAACATCACATGAAAGTTTGAAAGATAATTATCTCACAACAGGAGAATGATGAAAATACGTTAATTCATTTGAAGACTCCTGCAAAACAAATTACCTAACCTCTATGAACAACAATGTCTACAAATATTTCCACAGAGGGGAAAAAAAATGCATATTCCTACTGTGATGTGATGGTACGAGGACTTAGAGGTTACCTGTTTTGGGATCCGTGTGGACAGGCGGTATGCCCATGTGTGCGGGTGGTGGCGAGCCGAAGTCATTGTACATGACCAGCCCTGGGTACGGCGGCTGCACCATCCCCAGTTTGCTACTGCCCTGCAAAATACAACATCAACACCACAAATTAGCCAACATCAAACGCAAAACTTAAATACCATCGTGATGAATACAATGTACATGAAAGCCTTTTTGTGCACACTAAATGGCCTAAGTTGAAATAATACTGTCTAATTAATTTGTAGAAGAGAGCAATTTTTCTTTCATTTGGAAGCTGTCTGCATGCAAACTATATGGGTAATTTGTGTATGACATCACAGAGACATTGCACGGCTATCTCAAGCGAGATCAAAAGCAGAAGCCAGAAAGAGGGAAGCTAGCATTGAATCGTGCTCTTTTCCGTTAGGGTTATAATCCCTAATTGACGTTGTAACTTGATTACGAGATGACTCTACAAAATTACCGTTCCAATTAAGGCGAACTAGGGTTATGGCTTGAAATCAAAAGGTTACCTGATCACCTGGGCCTCGGCCTACATCAAAGGCATCACCCAGCTAGTGGGTCTCCGAGCATTTAATAATCTCATTTCAAACAAAATACACATCAAGCAATCCTTCTACCACTAGCAACACGGACAGGAACCAACAATGGTATGCTGGTGGCTGTCCGTGGCCTATCCTGTTGGCTGACCAACAGATTGGTGAGGGCGCTTTCACCTTATACAATTAATTTCTCAATAAATAGGGGTAGAATTAATATAATCCAAATAGTAATAACATAAGAAAACATCAAAATAATTAGCTTTCAAACAATTTTCCATATCAGACAAACTGGCTTGGGCAGTTCTGACTCCCAGAACTGATTAAGTGTTAATATTATTCCAAAGTCAAGACGAAATATAAGACCTAAACTTGACAAAATAATGTCTATTAATTATCAGTTCTGAAGAGTGTATCTAAGTTATGGAAAGAAAACACTACTTCCTCATGAACTAGACTGACAAGCATATCATACGATTTTCGAATAATAGGTTCTTTGAAAAACAGACATCAAAGTTCAATGAATTATTTCATGTTATTGACTTCCGACACTCTAATTGGGTTTACATAGCAATAAATTTCTCTACCCTTATTTCTTGATCAATCAGCCCCAGTAGTTTCAATGACATTCTTTCCCAATAATCGTAAATATTTTGTTCCAACATTTGTAATGTATGAAATTGTCGTATCTGCTTCCAATTATACAAATCCTAAATAGGGACATAATTCTATTGGGTCTATACTATTTACATCATTTGGATAAATAAAATCCTAGATGTAAATTCCAGTCGATAACAGTATCAGTCCACCTGCCCCACTGTGAAGTGGAAGAGGATAGATACTCAACATGTACTCTACGCTGCAACCTGTGGCATTAGATGAGGTTTACACAGTTCAAACCAGAGATAAGAAGCTTCCAGACTGGTCCAGAACATCCATTAATAAATCATGACTTTAAAAATCTGCAAAACATTTGTCAGACTGATATCAATTTCAAATCTGTTATCCCATAATGTTTTTTTATTTATTATTTACATAGTTTGGGTCTTTTTTTGCCGAACGGCTCACTCTGCAATAATCCAGCTATATGACCATGGCCTGTAATTAATTGTTCCTGGACGACACACCAGTGGTTGATATAATGAACAAAAACCCATGTTGGGGTACAATGACACGCTCAACCAAAATTCACCTAGCCTGACTACCTTTGTATGACAAGCATAGGTTGCTGAGAACCTATTCTAACCCAGAAACCTCATGGGAGAATCTAGGGGTGTGACAGGAGGGCAAACATCAGCAATATAATGGACCTCTTCAAGGTACGTTATTCTAACTGTTTGGCAATTCGTAAAGTCCAGTGTTTCTCCAAGTTCAATTATCACTGGGCTTGCTGAGTCAACATGCAGCTGAGCACTCCACTGGTAACAAATAAAACCTGTGCCCCTAATGACAGCTAACTTATCATGAACTTATGTGTACGTCACTGAATGTAGCCAATAATACCAAGGTCAGTGAATAATTTCCAGAACAAACACTGGTCCAGTGACCATTGGCTCCACAGCAAACATTCATCGAACTGGGAGGCACATATTGGCACATTCGACTCCGACTCCGTGCTGTGTGCATCAAGCAGGCTGGCTCAATGTGTAGAAGCACAAGCAGAATGATCATTTTAAGGCCTGTGTTGTTCACAACACAAGGGGAGTTCACCTTGGAATGTGTCACACACCATTGACTCCTATACAAGTGTAATTATGGCAAACATATTGCCCATCTACAGCATCTAAATGTGATTTGTGATGTAAGTCAAGCATGAGCTCTGAAGAGATGTGCAGAGAAATCAATGGCTGGCTCGATGCTAGGCTTACTTCTACCAGAGATTATGCCACACTCACAACTCGTACTGTAATAACAGTTCTAAATGCTCCCCTGTCGACATGCCAAAAAACTTGGGATGATGCAAATTGGTGTCGGGCCCGCCTTGGTCACATAGATGTGTATAGACTCTGGAGCATGTGCATTACCATGCTGACATGAACAAAGAATGAGAATAATATTCTTGCTACTTAAAGCTGGTGGGGCCTCTTCCCCCGACAAAAACCCTACCCCTTGGGACAGATCATGAAATCTGTTTTAGTGGAGAGAGCTAATATTTACAAAGCCAGCCTCCCAGGAGATATGAAAAGAGTCTTCCTAATCAATTGTATTTACACATTGCAGTCAGTGGGATTCAACTGCTCCTCTGAAACAGCCCACAGCTCTGACGCAATCCCACCCCTCCACCATGGGAGATTTAGAATCAGACCCCGGGCAGCCTCACAATAAAACACCAAGCAAAATTGAGCCTTCCAACAACCAGTTTGTGCATACTGTGGGATACACCGTGGCCAAGCTTGTGGGGTATTTGTGTAGAAAACACTGGTATTGAATGGTAGCTAAATCCGTGCAAGAGCATCAGTATTTAATAATAGCTGTGGGTCTATTCCACAAACATGCTGATGATGTTGGTTTCATTGGACACCTCCTCCAGCAGCAGTGTGCGACAGACAGACCGGTCCACGTGAAAGGAACTGGGACCAACGGTGCCACACACACATCTACTGTCAATACAAACGTGCCAGTCAGTCTGTCACCGTCTTAACACATAATGGTGTCAATCAACAAAGATCTGCCTTGTTCTCCCGATACCACATGGATCGTACAAGGACCATCGTCATCAGTTACCTTGCTCATCAGCAAAGCCCCAACCACATGGATTCAGTTCCAACACATCCAATATCTCGATCAGTCTGATAGTGGACACATAGCCTACACTGATACAGTTCCAGAACATTGTCCAATGCCTTGTTGATCTACTGACGAACCCCTATCAAACTTGGATTTTGTTCCTATTATAAGTTTGTCAGCTGAATCTATTGGACATAAGATTTGGTTCCAACCATTCTCTGGTATCATGCTGAAAAGGCCAAACCCCAGGACTTCCAACCATTACGTTTCCTGTCAAAATGGAAGCCTACACACCTGGACATAGCACAATCCTTACCTTGCCAGTAGGTTGATAGTGACACCCATGTTTGAGGTGTCTCACCAGGTGAACCAGCTGGGAGGATCTCTATGAGATACAGCATGTTTGAGGTATGTCTCACCAGGTGAACTACCTTGGAGGATCCCTATCAGATACAGCATGTTTAAGGTGTCTCACCTGGTGAACTACCTTGGAGGATCCCTATGAGATACAGCATGTTTGAGGTATGTCTCACCAGGTGAACTACCTTGGAGGATCCCTATGAGATACAGCATGTTTGAGGTATGTCTCACCAGGTGAACTACCTTGGAGGATCCCTATGAGATACAGCATGTTTAAGGTGTCTCACCGGGTGAACTACCTTGGAGGATCCCTATGAGATACAGCATGTTTGAGGTATGTCTCACCAGGTGAACTACCTTGGAGGATCCCTATGAGATACAGCATGTGTAAGGTGTCTCACCTGGTGAACCACCTCGGAGGATCTCTATGAGATACAGCATGTTTGAGGTATGTCTCACCAGGTGAACTACCTTGGAGGATCCCTATGAGATACAGCATGTTTAAGGTGTCTCACCAGGTGAACTACCTTGGAGGATCCCTATGAGATACAGCATGTTTGAGGTATGTCTCACCAGGTGAACTACCTTGGAGGATCCCTATGAGATACAGCATGTTTAAGGTGTCTCACCGGGTGAACTACCTTGGAGGATCCCTATGAGATACAGCATGTTTGAGGTATGTCTCACCAGGTGAACTACCTTGGAGGATCCCTATGAGATACAGCATGTGTGAGGTATGTCTCACCAGGTGAACTACCTCGGAGGATCCCTATGAGATACAACATGTTTGAGGTATGTCTCGCCAGGTGAACTCCTTCGGAGGATCCCTATGAGATACAGCATGTGTGAGGTATGTCTCACCAGGTGAACTACCTTGGAGGATCCCTATGAGATACAGCATGTTTGAGGTATGTCTCGCCAGGTGAACTCCTTCGGAGGATCCCTATGAGATACAGCATGTGTGAGGTATGTCTCACCAGGTGAACTACCTTGGAGGATCCCTATGAGATACAACATGTTTGAGGTATGTCTCGCCAGGTGAACTCCTTCGGAGGATCCCTATGAGATACAGCATGTGTGAGGTATGTCTCACCTGGTGAACTCCTCGGAGGATCCCTATGAGATACAGCATGTGTGAGGTGTGTCTCGCCAGGTGAACTCCCTCGGAGGATCCCTATGAGATACAGCATGTTTGAGGTATGTCTCACCAGGTGAACTACCTTGGAGGATCCCTATGAGATACAGCATGTTTGAGGTATGTCTCACCAGGTGAACTACCTTGGAGGATCCCTATGAGATACAGCATGTGTAAGGTGTCTCACCTGGTGAACCACCTCGGAGGATCTCTATGAGATACAGCATGTTTGAGGTATGTCTCACCAGGTGAACTACCTTGGAGGATCCCTATGAGATACAGCATGTTTAAGGTGTCTCACCAGGTGAACTACCTTGGAGGATCCCTATGAGATACAG